TATTCTAATATTAAATTACTATATATTAGTCATTAATTTCTACTCTAATTTGATGTGAGGCTTGGTTGTAAAGTGTTTTATTAGTACCTCAAAATTTGTGCTTCATCCAAAATTGTAAATCTTTAGATGCCTGAAAAGTTAATATTGTGTTAGCCATAAGATACTCAAGGTTAGATTTTGATCCTTTTCTCAAATGTTTATTTTTTAGATATTATTTTTTCTAAATTATGGTTATTTTTAAAATTTTGTATCTAAATCCTTTTTATAAAAAAAGATCAATAATAGTTTTAAAGAAGACTTTAAAATATTAAAAAGTAACAATAAGTGCATTGTAAATATCATGTATGATTTTTATAAATTGAGATGGTGCAGAATAATTTTATTTAATTTTTGGGAGGTCATTGGAAGAACCATTTATAAAATTAATTCAATTGTGATGTAATTCAAATAAAAAACATTCTTTAACCATTGCTTGAGGAATAGAATTTATGGTGATTGAAAATTACAATGAAGCTTTGATATCATGTTCAAGAAAGAACAAAAGCAAAATATATGTATATATATATATATATATATATATATAATCATTGTAATAGAATATTATTTATATACTAAAATTACAAATAAGTATGACTCTAAATTAAACATGCAGATGTAACTCTTACCAAGCTTATTAGATGCTTGTCAATGATCTAATTAAATAATTAACATAATAATTACAATGACTTAGTTTTTACATAATTAAAATTTTAAAAAATTAATACAATATTTGACAACCTTGATTTGCATCATTAGATCTCAATATTTACATGCACATACCATATATAAGTTTGGTGAGTATTAGTAAAAATCACAATGTATGCTCCTTCTCTATTAAACTTGCAACTTTAGAATTCCACTTTTGAATGATTTTTATGCTTGTATAGTAAGATTCCAAGACTAACTTTTATATTGATTTTAATTGATTTCAAATGATTAATTTAATTTGCTCAAAAATACCTCGCTGCCAACTTGTATTAGGATTTGAAACTCTAAATTTGGAAGTATTGTAATGCCACACTACCGCTCATTGTGGACACTCACCAAGGTCCGCTTAAATCCATAACCTCCACAACTTTCATTTCATTTAGTGCCTCTACATAGTAGACAACAACTATTTTGAGTTGACACAGAGGATTGTTTTGTTGCTAATTTTGAAGGGTTTGAGCAAATGTAAGGAGAGGATGACTTTAATATACTCATCGCTTCAAGCATTTGTTGCAGGCGCAAGCTCCGGAGCTCCATGTTCACCACTGAGAACTTCAATGCCTTGGTCACACTTCCCTTCGTTGGCTGTAGCGATCAGTAATTTCCTGCGATGGCACGAACTTAGAAATTGTAATTCCTCATTCATGTCTCGTGCCTCCTCTCCAAGAATTCCTCGAGAGGAATTCGACCATCACAAATTGATCTACCAAAACTCAAAGGCGGAAGATTCGTCACAGTTTAAGGATACTAGCTTGCTAATCTACGGTGTTCGGGAAATGGAATGGCGCATCAGTAAACAGGGCTGAAGTGGAGACATCAACAAGCTATCACTTAAAGTTGCTCAACTGTGGGCTGAAACAGTGCGCGACGAGATCAACGAAATTGAAAAAAGAATGTTCTAATTTCAGGCAAATCGGTACGGAGAAAGGTGTTGATTCCAAAGGCTTGACAGACGCATGTACTGCTCTGGAACAAGAGAACTCTCGTCTAGAAGAAGAAAGTAAGACGCTTTGAAGAACTTTGGTAGAGGTGGTGGCGTGGTTTCTGTGTCTCTTATTCCTTGGAGATGCATCGGCTATTCCTGAAGAAAGTTGAAAGGAGGCCTAGAAGGACAGTGAAGGCTAGCTGAACGACTTGCTAGTAGGTCTCGGTCAAGAGGAAACCAAGGTAGAGGGGCTAAGTGCTCGGTTACGTGATTTTTTGAAGATGTGGATAAACTACTTGTCGGTATTGGAGGTTCGGAGGGAGATGCAGATGGCAAATATGACGAGGATGATGATGATGACAAATGTTCGATGTGCTTGTGTCGCTTCTTTCTGTGAAGTTGACTTAAAAATGTAATATGCAACGTTCAATAATAAATAATGATTAATCAGGAATTTGGTTCGTAAATATCAGAATAATCACTGCGAACTAGAAATCTTTTGTTGAGTAATTGCTGTTGCATGCATCTGCGCAAACATCTCAAATGATGCATTTTGTTGCCTGTATTTGCATGTTCTGTTACAGTTTCCATAATGATTTGTCATAAACGATTGATTGAGTCAGACTGGTAAACCCTCGATAGGTGAAGGAAAACGAAGGGTGCATTTTCATGCGGTACTTAGTCTGCTCAGTTTTTTTTTTTCCCGGATTGCTTTATTTCACCACAATGAAACAGGTTTATCATCATCTTAGTCGCAAAGAAGGTTTGGATCCTCTCACAGTTACATAAGCTCACAACAATTGTAACCACTCAGCGGCGGAAACATTGAGAATAGGTACTGTTTCGTAAAGTGCCGAGGATTCCCACATGAACCCCCCCCCCCCCACACTCTCAGATAGATGCTATTGCGCCGATTCATAAGAACGAATATTTAAACAAATAATAATAAAATGACTTTTATCAGCATGTGAACCTAATTCAGTTCATTCGCCCGGAGATCAGGACCTGGCATCGGAGCTCACGAGGTGTAACGCCGATCCCAAAGTTGTGCACAGACTACCTGGATTGGCTCTTTAGTTATCCTATTGACAGCCAGCATTGGCTCTCGAGCAATCCTCGGCACCCTTCCTCTTAAAGATAAAGTAGCCATTTCGAGTTAGTTCTGTCCCCATCACCATTGATTTAATTTCTAATTTCTAATATTTTTGTCATTCTTTGATAATCTTTCTATTAAACTACTTTTCTTCGATATATGTAAATGAATATATATGTATATAAGTATCTATTTACATCTTTGTTTTTTTATCAAGTTGTGTACTGTTGTTTGTATTGTTTTCATATCATAGGTATTGTGTTGTCAATTTCACACATTAAAAATACGAGTGCTAAACAAAGAACTGTCCAGGAAAAGGACGAATCCGTCGCGAAGGATGAAGGGAAGGCGAAAGTTGAGCCTGATGCTTATTAAAACCAAAATATGCATTGGCATTGATGAGGAGGGTGCTGGTGATTGCGAGGTGCATTGGCTCACTAAAGATGGGAGAATTATCTGTCTAAGGGATGGGCCTCATTGCACTCTAAATTGACCAACGCCATCCAGGCTTACCTCGGTCATCTCCGCCATTCTGGCTTTCGCCTTCATACCCCACAACATGAAACCTCTTCAGTATGCGTGGTTTTGCACGATAAACCTGCCCATTTACCTGTCAATTCATTCTTCCGAGCTTTTAGCAATTACCCATATTTTTTTTATTCTCAGTACTATTTGATTATAGCCAGTCTAAATGATCAAATGACATAACACTATCAGAGAAGTCTAGAGTAACTGAATGACTGCATCCAAAATGACTGAATGACTTCAAAATCTTTGTAGTACTTTGTGCTGATTCCTTAACTTGCTCGTCCAACAATTAACGGTGAATATGCAAATTTTGAAAACCAGATAACCCTCCTCCATTTCCTCCCCGAAAAGAGAAAACATGTGTCGATGTTGGTTTCGGAGGAATTCTGGCAAACGATGCGACAAATCTGCATCTGTCCCTCCCCTCAATCAGACATCCTCCAATACACCAACAAGAGGAAATTTTTATGATAGGAATGCGTTACATATATATATATATATATATATACATGTACTGTGAATGTAGAACATTTTTATTCTTCTTTTTTTTAAATGCATCATTCCAACAGAAATATTTTTGAAGATTTTATTTTTATACTTGATTGTTAATTTATGCATTTTTATTTTATTTAAGATCCCATAAGTGTTTTAACAAAAACTTGAGTTGTGCACTGCATCAAAACTGTGTGAATATATAAATATTTAAACAGAATGTTGGAGAATATACTTTGCTAATCATGTACTTAAAGATTACAATTATAATAAGAATATATATACTATTTTTATTCTTGTTTTTTTTAAATGCATCATTCCAACAGAAAATTGATTAGTGTTAAAAGGATGAATTAGGATCATGAAAAAATATCTTAAAGTTTATATGGTGTATAATTTATTTAGATAATTGAGTCTTCAACAATATTGCCATTTGAATCTCCATAAATTTATTTTCTTTATAGCCTTTAGAGCAAAAGAATGGGTTGTAGTATGAATGTAATATAATTATATAAAACAAAAGAATACATAATATAACAATTACTAACAAAAATAAAGTCATATGTATATATATATACTCACACATAATTTTGTCTATCTTATCTAAAATAACAAGTACTAATGGTGCATTATAGGACATGTAAGTTCCATGTAATCACACATTAATTGTGTTTCATATTATAGAAAGTTTATTGTATTCGAAGAGAATTGAATTGCATATGTTTCAAAATTTCATACTTGACCCATCACACTCTTTGTATACCCCACATTACGAATACAGAAGTGGCCAATGCATGACTACTGCAAAGGCACCTTTCTGAATAAAAACAAGTCCAAACTTCTTTTAAATCATCTCCTTTTATATCTAGAAAAATCATACTCTTTAATTTCTTACAAACATGCGCAGAACATCCATCCCAAAATAACCCTTCTTAAAAAATCGACGCGACAAATAAAAAAAACAGAATCTCTTCCTCACACTATTCACTTTTGAACCAAGGAAATAAAAAAAAAAGGAGTGGCGAGGTCATAAGCCAGGTACTGCTCTACAGGAATCAGCGAATCATTCCACTGAGCCACAAAACTCCACTGAACCACAAAACCCTCTCGTCCTCTTGGAACGCCATTCCAACGAATATAAGGAGCTGAGTTGGCATGTATCCACACCGAAATTTCCTTACACCTTTCTCCCCCACCGGGCCTGGTTTCGACACTCCTCCGCCGCGGCGATCGCCGGCACGATTCTAAGGGAGGGGAAAGGGGAAGGGAATCCGTAAGGCCATGCAGCGCTTGCTCGCTGGCTCGCTGGTTGTCAGGTTGTCTGACAGTCTGGCCATGACGACGACGCTGCTGGCTTTTTGATCGCGATTCCGCTTGCGGAAAGCGAGAGTCTCACTTCCCCGCTCGGCTCTTTGTTTTGATTATCATATTTTGTCGATGATAATATAATAGACATGTATATGTGTATATATATTTATATATATATATATTTATATATGTATGGGAGTTTTGCAACTGTTTCCTTTGGAGGTGCGTATGAGTTTGATTGATGCGTGGTGTGGGGGTTACAGGTCCTGGTTGGACTAGAGTGGGGAGTGGAGGAGGGCGGATTATTGGCTTAGGATAGACCGTGAGGTTTTGGTGGTCGATCGGAGATTTCTCACTTGTGGAATTGGAGTAGGGGGTTTGATTGGGGATTACTGTCGAGGAAGCTTTGTATTTGGATTGTTCGCTGCCTGGGTTGGTAATTCGGATTTAAGAGCGGTGTGGATCATCCTTGCGTGTGGGAATGTGAATACGGATCGTGTTGTCGGAAACTGTGGTCTTTTTTTGACTGCTGGTCCGTCTTGACTTCTCTTGCAACGCGGTCTGATTACGATATTCACTTTTTTTAAAATTATTTATTTATTTCTTTATTTTTATTTTTCATAGCTTCTCTGTCCATTGGAGTATGTTTCTCTGGACCCTGTGCAACTTATCGAGGTGCCCATGATGCAGCAGAGGTTTTTTTCTTTTCGGGGAATTTGGTCAGGAAGGTTACCTCGGGGAAATAATGTGAGCGTGCTGTAGGGCTTTGAGCAATAGAGACTATATGCGCCATGCGACCCGCTGAGTTCGATTGGGAAAGCACCCTGGAAAAACTTATGATAGGAAGATGAAAATCCTACATGAGAACCTTTGTAAACATAAATCCACATGATGGAAGAATGACCACCGCGTCATTGAAGGCAGATATGGCGTTGTTGCCATCTGATTACAACAACTGTGCCAGTTTCGAGGCCTGCTAATATTAAAGCTGGAGGCCTACGGGCTGCTCGAGGGTTCTACGTGCCCACCATCGTCTTTGGCCCGCTTAATGAGGGAGGAGTTTAAGGTTTGTGGCAGCACTTCGGGCGCAGTGGTTATATGCAATTTTCTCAAGAAGAAGAGGAAGGATCCAATTAGGGTGGAGGGAGAAGTTTAATTCAACTCGAGCATGGGTTCCGACAGAGACAGTGACAGAGGGGTTCGCTGCTATGCCGGATGGGTTTATCATGTCGGGACGAACTCATTAGGTTATTCGCTTTGCAGCGATCGGTTTCTGGTTATCAAGGGCAAGTTTGTGACAATGTTCAAGCGCGACCCTGTCGAGTATCCCCGAGCTGTATGCCTACGATTCTTATCTCTTCCTATATCTTCTACTGATGAATTTTCGATAACAAGTACTTCAAATTGCTCTATCAAGTGTCTGAGGAAAGAAATTCTCCTAGGTTTAGTAGTAATCCACCGGAATTGTCTGGATTCGTTTCTCTTCATTGTTATTGGGACACATACATGGATTCTCCGTGGTAGATGTTTCATCAGTCATGATATGATCGCGAATTTGACTTTTTAGAACGAATGCACTTGTAGCGGTATTGTCTCCGCATGGAGACCAATCGCAAGAACTTGGTCTAATTAAACCAAAGACCGTTTCCTACAACTAAGAACGTAGTCAAATTTTCTCTGGGAAACCATAAACCAATGCTCTTGGGTTTCTGTTCTACAGATGCCTATCAGAAGTGGCGTCGTTGGAACTCACTTGATGGTGGAGGAAGTGGGTCGTCAAATTTACCACGGAAGGGTATGTACCAAATGTTGAGCTTCAGGGTCGCGTTATGTTACGTCCTACCCCAAGTATCTTTACATGGTCTGTGTCAAGGGCATAAGAGTAGAAGCTATTATGTTTCTTTTTTCTACTCTACTCGGTTTCCTTTGCAATGACAAGTGAGTATTTTTGTGCAGGCGTTGTATGTTCTTAGGATCTTCAATCGCCTGGATCACAGCAGGCAAGGAAAGGTAATCGTTGGATTAGTTGGCACACATTTAACTCTAGACTCTTCTTCACACACACACACACCCTCCCTCCCCCTTATTAAAAAGAAAAAATCATTTAAAAAAAGTTTTCAACCTTAAATTATACGTTAGAGAATAATTCCTTGGTCTTTTCACGTTATCCTCATGAATTAACTTCTTGCCGTTTTGTACTGGGTAGTTTGCATGCAATACTGCTGAGGAAGTTGACAAGTGGATATCTGCCTTCAAGCACGCTAAGGAAGAGGTGAGTAAGAATGCAACCATTGCTTTGTCATTTCAATCCCTCCTCTCTGCCCTAATGTCTTCACTTCTTGATCGTTTTAGGAAGCTCTTGACTTATTGAAGTTTCATTTCTGACATTTGAGAGTACCCCTTCTCCCTTTGTGCAGGCTGAATTTTCTAGCGAGCGAATTGGAAGCGGGCGCCGAATCATGAAAGCTGACAATGAGTAAGTTGAACGGACTTTAGCGGATCAATGAGTTGAATAATGGTTTTCGCTTCGGATCCAGCTTCATTCTTAGTTATGATTAGTATTTTCTTCACAAGCACACAAGTAAATGATGTTGACAATTGTAACAAACCCGCTTACTCTATCTGCACTTCCTGATAGGTTTGATATAAGCGGGCCTCGCACACATTCAAGGTCGGTCACGAGAGGAATCAGCAAGCTTATTACAATCGGCAGGGGTAATGCCACACTATTGTGATTTTTTTTCTTCTTCACGACAATTTTAGAGCCTATCATGGGAAACTAGTAAACGGGTTTTAAAAGGGATTTGGTACTAACTCCTTTTAGCTACAATACTATTCATAATCACGGGAAGCGTACCACCTAAACGTCTAAATCTTTAATCTCTATGGGCGCAGGCCCTGGTTCGCGACTGAGAAGACCGTCGATGGTTTCGCCGCAGGAAGCTGATTCAGACGGGTATTACAATTATCGAGGAGATACATTTGAACAGGCAGATTGGAGATGCTTTTCTACGGTAAACGGTAGCATTTCTGGACCTTGCAGTTCTGGTTACTTGTCTTGCAGTGAGAAGCATAATTTTTTAGATCTTGCATTTGAAATTTTAAAGATGGGAGTACATTTACGTGAAGTTTCCATGCATGTCGGATAGCATTCTCAATGAACACGCTGGATGTCTAATGAACCTCGCCGTCGTGATTTGTTATTTTACACAACTGAACCAATTCTATATCTACTATAGGCACCCAAGGCAATTTCTTCCTCCAAAATGGCTTGTAGTTCCACTTGGGTTAGTTTGATAGTGATTTGCTTGAGAGTTGTCATATTTCGTGATATCTTTGCTTAGCACCGTTTTTTTAATTTTTTAATTTTATTCATTCGCAAGCTTTCTTTCTGAAGTATTGATATTTCGTTGGCAAGCAGGTCTCCGAATCTTTGAAGATATCGCAGCCTCTAAGGTGAATGCAGCTTCTCTGTTACTGACTGATTTATTTCAAGCTTTGATTGGAGTAAATTATTTGTTGCCTGGATCACCATCATCTTCTCTCACACCTTCTATTTGTGGATTCAGGCAGAGAAAGACACAATAATGAAGGCGGTTGGTGTTATTGAAGCCACTCCCGACGCTATTTTCGAGCACATTATGAGTTTGGACAGTGCCCTTCGGTACCAGTAAGTCATTCAGAACCTTCTTTGGCTTTCTAGCAAGCATACTATGCGTTGGATATTGAAAAAGCCCAACTCGAATTTGTGGCAGTGACTGCTCATAAAATGCACTTGGTACATTTAAAATAAAAAACATCCTACACCCACGTTGAGAATGTTTTGTTCCATGCGTTTTCTAGTAACCCGCTTGTTTGCTCATCGAGTAGGATTTTGCTAGGTCACTCAAGACTTTCAGGTCGTTCTCTTCGTTGAGAACAGTGTGCATTGCGATCAATTCTTAAAGTTTATGATCTTCTTTTATTGTCCGTGTGTTATAGATGGGATACACTGACTGGAAATTTGGAGCTTGTTGAGCAGATCGATGGTCACTCAGACATTGTATATGGCTCATTTGATCCCAAGTATTTTAAGAGGTCTGGATCTAAATCCCGCTTCTTGTGCATTTAATATGACATTGTAGGGTTCTCGTCTTAGCTCTTCTTAAGTTGCATATTGCGAGCGTAATAATGATCTTTCCTCAGAATATTTAAGCTAGCAGTAATCTTCTTTTATCTCAAGTATCATGAATGTTCTCAAAAATTGTATTTAATTCTCCCAGTGGTGTTCCAACCCTCTGTTCAAGGACATTTTCAAACTTAATCCGTAGTTGAATATTTTTTTTGGAACATTTTTACTGACTTGTTTGTATTGAGTAGTGAGTCGTGAATGATTGGCAGCATAATCATAGGGGTGAATTTTGCAGGTTTCATGGTAAACGGGACTTTCTTTTCTCGCGATACTGGCGACGCGACCAGGATGGATCTTACTGTGAGCACCTCTTGAATTTGAAATTTGGTGCATTAAATGAAAGTTTGCATTTGTCTTATCTGGTCTATTCAATTTCTCTCCTTGATGATATTGATCATAGAGTTTTCTTTGTTCGTTTTACTTAAGTCATAGGTTTTTAATATTCTTTGAAGGGTCTTAAACTAACGTTCTTGAAAGTTTATCGATACTGATCGAAACAGTCGCTCGTTGGTTGTAGCAATTACGCAGGTCCCAACCTCCCACAAAAGCCGGCCAGTTAAACCATGCTTCCAACGGATTAATCTGAGTCGTAAGTCTTGATTTCAGAAATGCTCCCGTGCGATTCTTCAAGAGCTGCAGATGACCTGGAATCTTACAATTAATTGATTTTATTGGTTCACGAGGCTGTACTGGGAAAAAAATGTTTTGAGAGTTCTAATTCAAATTCATCAGATTTCATTGAGCCAACTTCTTTTACTGTTATGCAGCGGGCATTTGGGAGATTACCCCTTTACCTCCAAGGCCTGGTTCTGGTACTCCCCGATCATTGGTCACACAAGTTGTCGAGGTGAAGTCCACTGGATGGGGTCCATGGAGGCGAAGTCACTTCTCGAAATTTCACAAGACCATTCCTTACATTTTGCTCTGCCGCATAGCAGGTATGTTTACGCTTTCATGTATATGAGAGAGAGAGGTATTAGAGGAGTTTCTATTGACTGAAAAACTTGAGGTGTTGTAATGCCGTAAAATTTTCAAGTATGTTCATTTCGTCTTGGACTTGGTAATTCAGGCCTGAGAGAGCTTTTTGGAGCAAGTCCCGAGGATGTTACAGTAGAAGCTCATGCCAAAGAGACGCTGTGCAAAAAGGTGGAGAAGATGCCAGTAACAGCTGACCCATTGCTGGAAGGAGTGTCCTCAATCTTGAGCAAGTCCCCCAAGGAATCGTCCATGCTTGAGTCACACGAAGAATTTTATGATGCAATTATGGTTGAAGATCTTGATGAAGAGGAAGATGAAGGGGAGGGTAATGAGTTGGTCAATGAGAGTCTGGTATGCCTTGGTTCTCGTCATTCTTCTTTTTGGTGTTAATAGAACTTTAGATGTTGCAAACGCCTGTAGCTTTAGTAACTAATTTGCCTTTCTCGACTTCTTGGAACATGCCGTTTAACAAATCTATATCTGAAATAATCTTTCAGGTTGGCAGTAATTTCTTACAGATAAAGATTTGCAGAGTCTGTGAGCTATCGTATAAACGACCTTGTTAATTGACAAAGTTAGCAATCTGCTAGTATCTTCATGTGCCCCTTGTTACGGATGATTATTCTGTCCATCATCATGCATCAATTACTTCCAGCGTTCATGCTTTTGTCCTGTATTTCCTGTGCCATCAATTTTCTTCACATGTATTTGCAGACAGCAAGCCTTAAATGTACAGGACCCTGGAGTGTTGTGCTTGGTATGCCTATGAATAATTTCCCAGGTAGATATTTTTTTCATTTTTGTGTAGGTGATTGAATGAATTTGCTGCATATGCACTGCAAGTATTGAAGATCACTGAGAGGAAATAATTTTCTATATATTTTTGTCTCAAACAGTTCTTCTTGTGATTAGTATCTGATAGCGTGGTACATGCCTCCGTGGCTAGACTAGAGAGAGGGAGAGAGAAAAGAGAGAGCTGGACTACTTGTCTCATTTTTTCCAGTGTATTTGTTCGAGTTATCTTACGTCATATCTTATTTTGCAGCAACTAGAGCTGGTCAAGAGCTCGACTGGAATGCACCGCCCTTCGAACTGGATCAAAGTATGTTTTGTTCAGCATTGAGGAGAACCATATGTGACCAAGATTGCAATGGGTGGTCTGATCCTGGGGGGAAAGGATTCATGATTCGTAGCAAGACTTACGATGAGAATAGGCTCAAGGTTTGCAGCACTCTTTTGATTAATCTTCTCTTAATATCAAGTTTTTTAGTCGAAATTTATTCCGTTTCTCTCCTGCAGCACAGTGAATAAGTCGATTCGCACGTAGCTTGTGAGTTCCAATCTCATCGTAAACTTGTTCGGTGATCAGATATCAGGTGGGGATCCTCTTTTGAAACTTATGGCTGTGGACTGGCTGAAGTCAGATCAAAGGATCGACCAGATTGCTCTGCAATCTTGCTGCTGTGTGCAGGTGAGCTAGAATGATTGGTTCACTGAAGTTAGACTTGACGAATGCTGTACTGCACGTTTTGAATGCTTTGTTGGTTTGGCTTGCTTTCGTCTTGGTAGAGGAGTGAAAGGGGTTGCTTGCCTTGGCCACGTCATTCTTATTTTTCTCCGGTTGTGTTGCAGTCACCAGTAGGAAGAAAGGCGCCTTTTATCCTTGTGATCAATCTGCAGGTAACGTGGGGCTGAGATTTACAGTGGGGCTGAGATTTTATTGTCCATAATGTTGCTTGGTCCTAAGTGATCTCATGCTAATGTGCCACCTTAACGATCTTCAATTATCATATCTTGAAGTTTATATACGTAAATCTTTGTAGTAACTGATATATTGAGACGTTCATGAATTTTATGATTAGCGGGGCTCCACTTATGTCACTTTTTCGTATGAAATCTAATACAATGTTGTGTGGTCAGGTTTGTGCCAAGCCTAAGTATAGCTTGGTAATGTACTTTGTTGCCGACAAGCCAATCCAACCAGGATCATTGCTTGACCAGTTTGCTAATGGAGACGATGCGTTTCGGAATTCTCGTTTCAAGCTTATCCCAAGTATTGTGGAGGTATCTACTGACACAATCGCAATCGAGTTGCATCAAAGCGTACTACTGCTTTGTAGTTAAAGATGCTTTGGCTTTATTTATTTCTTCGATTCACTTCTGAAATGCAGATAGGATTTCAGTTAAATGCTTTTTTCCTTTGACTTACGTTTACTTTTTTTGAAAGACAATGTGATTTTATGTTTTTTTTCGAGATGGATGCATGATGCATACACTGTTGGGAATCTTTTCTCAACACCTCGTTCAATCCACAGGGTTACTGGATGGTGAAGCGTGCTGTTGGTACAAAAGCCTGTCTACTGGGTAATGCTGTCACTTGTAATTACTTGCGCAAAGATAACTTCCTTGAGGTACTTGAATTCACTACCTTCTTTAATCCTGTGTACTTTTAATGCATAACACAGGTTCCCCTTCTGGACACAAGCAGTACCTTCAGGTTTCTATATACAGGTGTTTTGGTCCCGAATGTAGCATTTCTCGGATAACTTTTCTTACCTTTTGAATAAACTTTATCGCAGATTGACGTGGATATTGGGTCGTCATCTGTTGCACGAAGTGTGGTGGGATTGGTTCTCGGTTATGTTACAAGCGTCGTGGTGGACCTTGCGTTTCTAATTGAGGTATGTTTATATCGTCACCCACTGTTTGTTTGTTTGTATGTATGTTTGCTTTTACTGGTGTTTGCTTCTTCTTCTAATTTGCTAATAATCCTTAATTTAAGTGAGTTTCTAGTACCTTTTTGTTTTCAATCCGCCATAACACATTTCATTTAATTTGTCACAGGCAAAAAATGCACACGAGCTTCCAGAGTATTTATTAGGAACTGTGAGGATAAATCAAATCAAAGTCGATTCAGCAGTTCAGTTTAAGGGAGATGCCATGTGAATTCAATTTTTCAACTGTAACGAAATTAGGGTCTAGAATGAGGATATCTTTTAGTCCATTTAGTTTTCTGTACCATAGTCTTCAGAGAACCATTTTTTCGCCAGTTCTGATTCCAAACCATTCTTTGGTTCAGAGCACTGGTATAAATGAACTACTTGATCTGGAAGCATTTTCCAGATATTCACAAGCCACAATTTGGCTTAGTATTGGTATATGACCAGCTTCCCTATACAGGGTATAATATGACAAATCACAGTTAACATTCCACTGAGTGGTGTGTTGCATGGCTTCTAATTGCAGCCACTAAATCCATGTTGGCTTAACAATCTAGAGGGAAAGATTATGTGGAAATCCTTCATCATTTGGAATTTTCTCCGTAGAGCGGCTTCGATTCGTTTCAGTCAGAGTTGTGATGCTTTTGAGTTGGGGATTCTGGTTCCTGATGCCTGCACGGCATTTCTTTCGGGTAAATATGATTGGACGTGGGGTCTCCGCTAAAATCCTCTTTTGGATGTAGACAAACTGATCATCCACTGCATGAAAGCGATAGCAATTTAGCCAGTCAAGTCTATACGTAGTATCGTGATGTAGTATATATCTGAGCTCCTTGTCAAATCGATTTATATAATTCATGTTTCAGCACTTTTGTGGTGCTTAAATCAATTTCAGTATTCTTTCATGATATCAGAGCGACAATACACCTGACTTCAAATCTGCTCTTCATAAGGAGCAAGACAGATCTAGGTTCTTTCCTCTCTTGCTTACGTTCAGTTTTTGCAACACTATTTAACCTAATCCTAGACTCATCTTCCCAGCATTCTACTTCTCCTACCATATGATGGAGTAAGTGTTGAATGGCAAATAGATTCATGCAAATTCCAAACTAGAAGCTCAAAAGTATGTTATCTGGGTGTTCAAGGTCAAGACCACATGTAGAGGGGAAAAACCATGGTATTTGATATATTTTGACATCTTCATTACTAACATTAAAGTATTGTCTACAAGCACTGCAGATTTTGCAACTGCCAAATCAATCATAGAGAAGCAACCTTCTACTCCAACATCAACAACCACACTACTATCAACAACAATCTCACAAATAGAAGATTGATAGGAGGTTTAATTCAAAGCCATCTGCAATATTGTCAATACACTAAGTAATAAACTCTTGATATATATTATACATATGTTAGATCCTAAAAAAGTTCTAGGTTAAACTTAAAGACCTTTTTGATTATTTCAAGTTGATTACTTTATTAAAATTGATTATTCTATTAAGATTAAATACTCTTATCAAGGTTAATTACTTTATCAAGGTCAAAATTCTTTTTTAGGAATTCAAATTTAAAAACCTCTCTCAGTCATCTTGTTTCTTCATTCTCCTACCTTGATGAATCTTGATGTATAGTTGATTAATCTTGGTCTTGGCACTTAATCTTCTTTAATTTTTTATTAAGAAATTAGAGGTCTTCATGAATCCTTCTTTCACTCATTGTATGACTTAAAACTTAAAACTTGTTTATATATCAACATAAAAGGAAGAAAGGACATTATAATATTTTAATTAAAGCCATTTTATTATGATTCTACTTATCATATTTATAACATGAATTTGTGGCTTTTTATAGATTCTCTCTAATAAATTTCTTTTAATACTATTTAGACTTAGTAAATCTACTTTGTTTCTAATTACCTTAACTACCTAAGATAATTCAACCACCTTGTCTTTTAATACATCGACAACTAACCATCTTTTTGTATTTAAACTAAATATTTATATTATTTATTTATTATTATTTTTTCTAATTATTTTTATGTTAGTTCTTATTCTTTTTTTTAATATTTTTTAATATTAATATTTCTTTTAATAATATTTAATTTTTTTTTGCATCATATTTATTTATTTATTTATTTATATGTATATATGTATATATATGTATATATATGTATATATATATATTTATATTTATAAAAGTTTTATAGAAGATTTTTTCTATGTTATACCTCATAAATAATATAAAATTTATTATTCTATTTATATATTATATTTAATAATTTTAAAATTAATAATGATATAATAGAGATAAAGACTCTTGAGAATGACATATTTGGTATCACAATTTTAGAAGAGACTCTTGAAATTTGGTGATATTATTGAAGGTAGGAACAACTTTTGATAGTATTTCAAATATTATGTTTGAAGAAAGTTTTAAAAGCTTCAACAATGATCAAATACAAGGGTGGTCTTCTTGCCTTGTTTTGAAATACTATCAATGGCTAAAAATACCTATTTACAATCTTTGATGAAAATAAAGATCAAAATATGTGATAAATACAAATCATTGCATCTTGGACATCCTCAATATGTGATTACTGCTCTTTATGAACTTTTTCTTAGAAAATAAGATAATTTTTTAAACATATATATTTATTTAAATATTATTTAGATTTAATAGAAATAAATAAAAATAAATATATTTGATAATATAATTTAAATTTTCTTATAATTAGTGATTTAAAGTAAAAGATACAATTAACAAGAAATAAATAAGAATAAATACGAAAGAAGTGAAATGAATATAATCAAATAATTATATATTCCAAAAACTATTCATAATTTTTTTATTGTATTTTTATAAAGTTAAAGTATAATATAATAATATATTATAATATTATAATAATATATAATAATATATAATAATAATATATAATAATATATAATAATAATATATAATAATATATAATAATAATATATAATAATATATAATAATAATATATAATAATATATAATAATAATATATAATAATATATAATAATAATATATAATAATATATAATAATAATATATAATAATATATAATAATAATATATTATAATATTATAATAATATATAATAATAATATATTATAATATAAAGTTAAAAAAATTAAAGATTTTTTTAAAATAAAAAATTAAAGATTTTTTTAAAATAAAAAATTAAAGATTTTTTTAAAATAAAAAATTAAAGATTTTTTTAAAATAAAAAATTAAGGATTTTTTTAAAATAAAAAATTAAGGATTTTTTTAAAATAAAAAATTAAGGATTTTTTTAAAATAAAAAATTAAGGATTTTTTTAAAATAAAAAATTAAGGATTTTTTTAAAATAAAAAATTAAGGATTTTTTTAAAATAAAAAATTAAAGATTTTTTTAAAATATATATATATATATATATATATATATATATATATATATATATATATATATATATTGAGTGATAAATAAAACATTAAAATACTATTACTATGAATCAATTGTGAAGGTTTAAAGATATAAATATTTGAAGATATGAATTAGAAATTGGAAATTTAAAATAAATATATTTTATCTCAAAGTTAATTTATTTAAGAGGTTAAAAATTTGAGCCTCATAAAAGCTCACAAATAGTATATATGAATGTTTTAGAGAGGCCACAATGCCTTGTACTTATACTCCTACTTACATGTAAGATGCTACAATCCATATGCAACATGTGTTCCTTCCTTTATAAATAACTACTACACAAACTATTGGTCTTTTAAATTTTTATAAGTAAAATTAATTTTTTTATTTTTTTTACTTTATTATGGTATTTAAGAATATACAATTAGCTTCAAAACTTTGAAGCGTCTTCAAATATCAAATAAACTCTTCTTAATAACCTTTCAAAGTGATAAAACCATTTTTATTAAAATTTTAAAAATATGATCTAAATTTTTTTAATTTATAAAATTGTAATTAAATTATAAAAATTATCTTAATATTTTATAATTCTAAAATAAATTTAAAGATAATTTTTCCTATCGTTTTAATTTTTATAGTAATAATTTTATATTTTCTATATAAATTAATTAATAAAACATGAGATTCTATTTAATACTATTTTTTCATAACAAATAAAATTTATAGGTTTTGGAGTAAGTAATACATGTAGATAGAAGACCAATTTATATATTGATCTTCATAATTAAATACCAATTTCCACCATTAAGATAAAATACTAAATTATATAAGATAATTGCCTCCAAGACTTATTAAGATTTTAATTTAATAATTTTTAAAAAATAATATTTTTATAACTAATAAATACTTTTGAATTATAATAAATATTCAAATAAAAAATAAAAAATTTAATATTAATATTTTATATCTAAATAACTTAAAATCATATTTTTAACGATTCTACCCATCAAGATGCATTTATAAGATTCACATCTTTGTTTGTTAGTTTATATCTATGATTGGCTAATAAAAAGTTCTTTCAATTATATTAAATATTATATAAGATCTATCAATAGATATTATCTCTCATATGAGGTAATTTTGTATAATATATACTTTATATATTTTTAAAATTTTAAATATAAATACCATAAAGATATTACTTTATTCAAGGTTTTGTCATACTTCTTTTAATTTAAGATATAACAAATAAGAGACTTAAATTTTTTTGATAGGGCCATTCAAGTTGATTTGGATGTAGAGGTTATTTATAAGAAATATTATTGTATGCTTAGAAGAACAAAAGAACTAATACTTGGTATTATATCTATGCAATAATGATCTGTTAAATCCTATTAATATCTTTTTTTATCTACTTTTAGTCTTCTACTTTTTCATTGCCAAGTAATAATCTAATATCTTTAATTATATAATTTTTATATGGTAAAACTTTAAATATAATTTTTATTAATATTAAATAAAAAAAATTAGAAGATAAATAAGACTATCAAATGATGTATTCAAAAACAAGATGATGAATACCATAAAAGCCATAAGTGAACAAAATATCTTTTTTTTTATCAAAAAAACTCTAACTATAAAGCTATATATCTAGAATTAAGAATTCATAGCTTTAAGTTGTGGTGTATAAATTGTAAATAAATATACTACACAATCTAATTTCGTCAATAATTTCTACATTAACAACCTATAGAGAAAAATCAATTTTAATCTTATAGACTTTTTCATTATTCAAGATAAGGTCCTACTTATATTTTAAACCAAATGAATAATATCACACCTTGTCCTAATTACAAAATGTTACAATAAATAGGCCAATATTGGTTTAAAATAAAATTATATGTTATGATTTTAGAAAATTTTGTCCTACAAATTGTTGCAAAGACTCTATAAGGTTATTCCTTTAACCTTTTTTTTAAATGACTACAAAAACCAAAATACAAAAAATATGCAAAGAGATTATATTAGCCCAAGTTTTTGTTATAAAGGATCTATTGAGTGTATATTA